AAAGAGTATAGAGCGTAGGTAGGAAACGTTGACAGTAAAAGCGTTCACGGAATTGCCCTTCGACGCTATTAATAATACCGGAGGGTTTCACAAGAGCGGGTAATTGCGGCAAGAGTTTTGCCGCCGATGTATCCAATGTATCGGTCACGAATCGAACGCATTCGACGTCCACCGATGTTCGTATACGAGCACGGTCTCTCGGCGTGTGGAAGGTGTACGTGGTCCCGGCAAAAATCTCCGATACCGCTTGCGAGGGCATCATTCGCATCGCTAGAGGATTCTCTATCCGATTCACGATCTTTGCGAGTCCGCCTTAAGAAAACGCGCATGGGTGGAGGTAGAAAACCGCACGAGCGCGAGCGAGACAGCGAGACCGGCGTGTAACATGAAAATGAGAAAGAAAAGCAGGGAGTCTCGGAACACGCGAGGCGAGTGCGCATAAGAGAAGGAAAAGGGACAGAAAGGGGCAGTGGAGAGAAAAAGAGAAAGATCGTGTTGCCGTGGGGCCCGGGTGGAGCGGCGAGCAGCGGGTAGCCAAGGAACGAAGAAAAAGAGAGAGAAGAAATAGGAGCGAGGGAGTGGGAGAGAGTGGGAAAGAAGAACGAAGAGAAAAGAGAAGGACGGAGGACGCTAGTGGAGTAGAAAAGGGGAGAAGGAGAGTGGGATGCTGCGAGAGAAGCAAGAGAGTCGTGTGCAGGCGAGAGTGGACGGACGGCATACCACCACTACCGCTCCTTACCCCCCTCGATGCTTTCCACCTCTCCCTTTCTCTCTCGCGGCATGACTCTTATTCACGGGGGCCCGCTTCCCAACGGCCGCTTCTCTCTCCCTCTCTCTCTTTCTCTCTCTCGCTCCGTCTCTCTCCCTCCCGCTATTCCTGTGGCCGTCCCCGTGGTCCCTCTCTTTTTCTCTTTCTCCGGGTCCGTGGCGGTTCTCTTGTGAGTCAGGGAGAGGTGCAGCGTCGAGAGCTCGCGAAATGCCAGTGATTCGACGCGACTTCGACTACGCGCACTACGAGAGTTTTTCTCCTCGCGAGACGAGGGGACCGTGTGCTTCCCGATGCTCGTTCCTCTGCCCTCCGCGATAAGGGTGGACCCGCGTCGCGACGCTCGGCGCCTCGAGTACGCCCAGACGTTCCACACACATACGCACGCACGCACGCGCGCGCCTACATACGCAACCGGCCGCTACCCTTGCTTCGCTACTTGCGCCACGCTGATACTCTTGCTTATACTACTAGTGCCGCTACTATTGCTCCACTTTTTTTTCCTTCTCTTTTCTCTCTCCGTTCTGTATTCCTTTATCGCCATTTGCCGCGTTTCGGCTCGCAATATTACTATATCGCTATCTCTGTATTACCATTCGACTTTTCTCTTCCTCTCTGTCTCTCTCACCCTTCCTATCTTTCGGTATTTCTTTCTTCTTCCTTTCCTCTTCGTCTTCTCGCCCGTTGTCACCTTTTCTTTCGACATTTCACTTCCGTTCACGGTAAACACGGTGTTTACGTCTAGTACAGACGCGTATAAAATAGAAGAATTCGGCGCGTGCGCTTTGCGGACGTTTCGATGGTACGGTCTCGTGAACGGTAGTTACGTGCCGCGATGGACGCGTGTCCTACGTCGACTTGTTCTTTCGCGGCTAATTATTTTTCTCCATTCCTTCGGATAGTCGAAGGACGAACGCGATCATCGGGGTTATCAAACTAGAACGAATTCCCGGCAATCGTTCTTTTGCCGTCGACAGAGTGTCGTAAAAAGAATCCGGTCGAAGGAAGGAAAGCTTGTGAAATAGGTTCTCGTGGGCGAGGAACTCGCCGGCGAGAGAGGCGACTCGATTTCCCTAGTTCCCTAGGGCTGACCTTACTCCCTTAACCGGCGTGCCGGACCCGAGAAAAATTCACTGCCGTGTATCGAACCGAGAGAAACTGGTACTGCACACGGTCGATGTCTCCCTTTTATTTAAAAATCGTTCGAGATGGACTAGATCTAACTAGACACCTCGATCCGTATCTACCGCGTCGGCGTATCGAGGTTCCCCTCTCGATAATGCCTATTCCGCGCCGTCTTTTTCCTCCTACGATATCGCTCGCTGCGCAGTCGCGGCAATTAGCGCGGTAATTTATTTTTACCGACGCTCGATTACGCATGCGCGTCGCGTAATTTCAATCACCAATCCGAATAGTTAATTTCGATTCGAAACGTAGCAACGTTCGTCGCGCGTTCTCGCAGGCTTTTACGGAAAATCTGTGTCTGGTAAACATCGTGTTCCTGCTTTTCTGCAAAAGCAATAGCGGTCGGTGGAGCGTGCTTCTCGAGGCCTCTGTGTGACCGTGATTTACTGTTCCAGCGAAATACCGGTACCACGAAATTCGTGATATAATCGTGGCGTAATCCGATAGCCGGACGAAATCGAAGAACCATCTTTCGCGGAATCCGTTCGCAACGATAGTTCTAACCTAGTGTGCCACGGAAACGTAAATGCAAACGTGTGCTGTTGTTGTGCCAAAATCTTCAAAATAACGCAGAGTTTGGTCCTCTGTGCCCGACGTCGTGAATATCGAATAACGGAAAAAAAAATGGATAAAAGTTGGAACGATCGTGAGACATAGTGGCTGTCGTTCGGAGTGATTTGGTGGAGCGAAGGATCCGTGTGCGGCTGGCAACGGGGTACAGGCTCGTGGTCGACGCGAAATAATAAATGGTCGGGAACGTGGAGCGAAGGAAAGGGTGAAATCAGTGTCGTAATCGTTCGAGGGCGGAGAAAGTATCGTCGAATGTGTTTTCAGCGATTCTAGATGCTTTCGGACGAGGCACATATATGGAGAACAGTATCGGCTCTCGACGCGGGTTGGACGGTCGTGAGCGCAGAACGTGTTGCGTCCTCGCGTGCAGGCATTCGGCAGGCTGAAAAGAGATGCGCGGTTTCGAAACGTTAAATAACTCGAGGTAAACGTTGCGCGGAGGTTGAAGAAATTTCAAAGCGAGTTTCCTGTTTGATCCGCGATATTAATCGCAGCCACGGCGCGGTTACCGCTATCGAAGCATAGTTTCCTCGAGGCAGAACGCGCGGCAGGAAGATGGTTCCGCCGGCGAGGCAGCGCTGATACGCGTTACCTCGAATTAATCCGCCGCTACGCGGCTGCGCGTTATTTTCCTCGCGGCAGCGGCGGGTTGCAAGTGCCGAATCGCTTTTTGCCGAAGGATCCTGCCCGAGCGGAGGGCAGCTATACGAAAAGGGTGGAGGAGAAGGCGGATAAAGAGGAAGAAGGAGCGACGCGGCAACGGCAGGTCGAAAAAGGAAAGCCACGTTGATTCGCGACTGGAAGACCTCGGAGTTGCACCTTAAGATCGCAGAAACGCGCAAGCGTGCACGTTCGCCAGAGCGACCAGCAGGGAGAAAGAGAGAGAGAGAGAGAGGAGAGAGACCGGAGCAGTGGAGAAGAACTACGATACAGATGAAAGAGAGAGACGACAGGAGAACCAGTGCAGCCTCGCAACCTCTCTCTCTTCCTCTTTCTCTTCCCTTCTCGCTTTCTCTTTCTCCCTCTCTCCGTCCCCCTTTCTCCCACCCTCTTTCTCCCCGTCTCTGTCTGGCTAGCGGCGAGGATAGAAGGACTCGAGGAGGACGCATGGCTCGCTGGAGGAACCAAAACGAGCCCTTCGTTCGCGAGGAATCCTTCGGCGACTCCTTCCAAGGGATATTCGATTCGCTGTGCGAGATAACTCGCTAGCAGCCAAAAGCGGAAACTAAGCTAAATCGGGAGGCTGCTCGTAGTCGGGGAGGATAGAAAGGGCGAAGAAGAGAGGAATTTAGCGGGAATATCGGCGCGGATTTTTCGCCAGACTATCGTCATCCGGTGGACGGCGCGGAATACTGCGTGAAATTCGAGAAAGTGTATAAAGCAAGGTAACGGCCCACGTTGGTATCGGAGGTAAATAACGAGAGAAATTTTCGAGCCTCGTACACATGAGATCGCGGTATTCGAAGAAAAAGTCACGGAGACGCGTGGAGGAGCCGGGAAAGGGATAGGGAGGTATAGGATGAAACGCAAGACGATCGTTTGAGCGGAGAGTCCGCGAAGGGCCGAACTCATGAGGCCGCTGTCCTTCGAGAACTTGAGGAGGCTCGTCGGCCGCAAGAAGGACCGTAACGAGCCGTCCTTCAAGCGCAGCGAGTCCTTCAAAAGGATATCGATAAGAAAAAGTTATCTGGACCGGGGCAAGAGACGTAACAAGCTTCAGAAGAACCTGGAGCCGACGGTCGCTCCTGCCATCGATTCCAACCTGAACGAGAAGAAGCCTATCGAGAAGCAGATGGTGATAAAGGAGCAGAAAGCGAAAAAGCTTCAGGACGACACTCTGAGCCGCGAGTCGATAAGCTACGACGAATGGTTGCAAGGCGTTAGCTCGTCCTCGCGCGAGAAACTGGACGAGGTGCACCGGGAACAGCAGCAGAACAAGCAGAACAAGCAACACGCTCTTGGAAAGAACAATATTTACAAGTTCCAAAAGCAGAACGACGCTGACCACGTGGCCGAGGATCTAAAGGTTCTCGAGTTGGACGCGTCGCCGGTGTTACCCTCGAAGCCGTTTCGCGTCTCCGGCGAGACGATCCAGGAGAAGAACAGCCAGCAGCAGGATATCCTGCAGGTCCAGGAGCCATCCGTCGAAGGACCTCCCAGCGTCAGCATCAATCTCGGTAGAATATGGAGGGACGCGGTACCGATGCCCTTTCCTTCCTCCTCGGGACCATCGGCCCACCATTCCCTGGACAGCGCTCTGAAGGAGAGAAAACCTCAGCCTACCGTGGCGAGGACGGTCTCCGCTCCGGAGAAGAGCATCGCCGGCAAAGACGTCTCCTCGGCGTTCGGTTTTTCTCTGAGGATCGCCAAGCTGGCCGATTTTCGTGCAGGGTTACTATCCACACTCGTGTTTCTTAATTGGCTCTCGTCGACGATGAAATTGCGAAACGTGAAAGTACCTAACCGAATGAGTTTCCATGAAAATCTTCTTATAGAAAGTTCAATGAAAAAAACTACACGGTCGCGAATGCCCGTGTAAATCGAGTCTCGCTTGCAAACTTTAATTTCTCGTTCAGAAAGTTTCGCGATTAGAGAGATAGCTTTCGAACAGCGCGTAGTTGTTCCACCTTTCGAGTCTCGAGTCTTCGCAGACATGTCCGGAGACGTGTGTAGGGGTATCCCCGATTTTGAGCCGACTAAAGATTTCGTCAATTTCATCGGTCGAGGATTTCGTGGTAGTCCGTGAACCCGATAATGACGTGACTTCAGGGGTACGAGGAATGGTTTCTTTAACCGAAGATCGAACAAGCCGTCGCCCAGCGTGAGTGCCGAGGGTTACTTCAAGAGGACGAACGCCTCGAGGCGGTCCAGTTCCCGACGTCGTGGACGGCGAACATCCCAGAGGACGAAGAAGCCTCAGGTTCAGTCGCAGCCGGTGCGATCGAACAGTCCCGTGTGGTTCGTTCCGCCGGAAAGGCGGCGTTCGAGGCGTCAGAGACGTGTCTGGCGAGAGATCAGATACTTCCCCGAGACCGAGATCCCGATGATCGAGAGAGTCGACGATTGTTCGTCGAATCTGTCAGACGATCAGTTCGACGACCTGAAGTTGTTGCTTTCGGGGGACTTCAACGACAGACGAGAGGGAGGCTTGAATTCGCTGGTCTCGTCCTCGTTGGGTTCCTTCTCCGCGACATCCTCCTCGTCGTCGGCTTGTCGTGGACCGAAGATCAGCGACTTCAACGAAGACAAACTATTCTCCGAGGAATTACGAACCAGCGGTGTCCTCGCGCGGAGAACCACATGGCGGCCCATGACTTCCAACTACTTCGCCAGCAACCAGTTTCTCAGCTTTCTGTCCAAGGGTTCGAGCAACCTTATCGGCAAAGAGAAGACGAGGACCGACTCGTCGATGTACTACAGGTGTCTCTCGTCTACCGACAGCGAAACCGAGGACGAGCCCAATCATCTCGGTCTCGAGCGCAGGAAGAGCTCTCACGCGATGCATAGGCAGCAACACTTGAAGAGGCAAAGGTCGGGACTCAGAAGAAGGCCTCTCAGGCGAAAATCTCAGCTCCGAAAAGCTTCCGGCCAGCCGGTCTTCCTCGTGCGAAAGTGCTCGTCCTTGAGGAAAAGACCCAGTAAGACTCGAGCTTGCGACGATCTTATTTTCGTAGACTTGCTTTTAGACTACCTCTGCAACCCCTAGTCTCGCTGCGAATAACTAATCTTCCTGCGCAGATTCTTGAATCCCTCTAGGGAAATTCTAGTTTCGTTACATGGTTCTTGCACCGATTTCGTCGATGATAGATAAGTTTGCCGATTCCCAGAAGTTTTGGTTCAAAAATCCACGCTGCCTTCGCGTAGATCGTTCGCCGATACGTCCATAATGATAAATCGATGGCTATTAGCTGGTACTGTAGATGAAAATAAACAGGTACGCGCGATCAACCGCGGAAACGAAAAGCCCGAGACCAGTCGTTTCGACTGGTTCGGTAGTCCCATCGGTATCAACGACATTGATCGAAGCCGGCAAGGTGTCTGCACTGGCGACAGCTGTCGGATCTCTCGATCGCAAACTCGCTCTCTACGCCTGTCTCCTTTTCGTCTGGTATTCCTCGTGATCAGCGTTAATCGCGTAACAGAATCGGCCGGGTTGGTTTCATTGCGGTTTTTGCGTTCGCTAAACTCGACTCGAAGTTATGCACGTACATACAGCTAATTCGTCGCCTCTTTCGACTTCTCTCCTCGAGAACGCGACCTGCCTCCACTCCCAGATCGTTCTGTACCCATACTCGCGTTCCTTCTCGTCGAGAAACGAATATTTCCCCGAAAAAGTTGATCACGTTCCTTATCTCGCGCGTCTAGATAGATCGCAGGTGCCTAATCGGCGTAGGGCAAACGAAACACTCAGCGCAGGAATG